ATTTGCTGCTACTGTCTGTTGTCATTAATATACGATAATTTGTTCTCACGTACTTTGTATTTAGTTTATGAAATTCTGTGCTTTCAATAAAACTCATATACCTAGAGTTATTAATTTCTCATTTTATCCTCCCCCGTTGAAAGTGCTGAATTACCTAATGTGGCCTGTGGTCCGTAAAGTTTGGAGACCCCTGATTTAGAGCAAGGTGTATTTCTGTATAACACCTGTGTGACATACAGACCTGCTAGAAAGTTTTGGCAAAAATTTTGACATAAATTTCATGTCGAAAGAGTTCCTAGCAGGCAGGCAGTTCACAATTTGGTGAATAAACTTCGAACAACAGGGTGTATAATAGACAAGAAACAAAAACGTAAGCGCTGTGTGCTTAGTGAAGCAGTGTGTGTGTTCTTAATTTTCCTGTCTGTTTGGTGTATTTTGTTCAGATTGCTGACACAAATTTTGGAATGTTTCAGGTGGATGAAATGTACAGGGAGGCACCAATCAAGCACAGCATGTTTGACTATATTGAGTTTACACGCATCCTGAAGCACGGAGCGAAGGACAAGGATGACCAGTGATTGTTGTGTTATGAATTTGGCATCTAGAGAATGTCTCTTGTTTTTACCACAGTACAGCAAATAACAACTTCTTATGTCCTGTTTTCTCTTCTCTGCCACACTCCTGCTTTAAAAATGTTCATTCCATCTGCAGAATGGATGTTCAGTACACATTTTATGGTCAACTTATCTTTCTTTGTCATGAGGGACCATAACCCCATATTTCTTTCTAACATTCATATAAGCATTAGCATAGGTTCCACTGAAATTTCGGTAGCAAATTGTTGCAATTATCAACCTAAATATTATAAGTTGAGCATGAAATGTCTTTGAGAAAACAGTCCCTGTACACATGCAACATTTTATGCCAGTGAAAGAAACTTGTTGAAAATATAATCACAGTAAGTTGAGAAGTTCTGGAAAGATGGCTACATTTATATATCAAGCACTGAACTTGACAGAATAGCGGTGTTCGCTGTACGGTGCTATTGCTTGAGGAAGTTACTTCTGCATAGTTGGAGACCGCAGTACCAACTCAAGGACGCCTGCCCCTGTATTCTGCTCCAGTTCGTAACTGTTGGCTAACATTCAAATCCAAATAGCAAATGTTGTACTGCTTATCCAAGGATCTTCTAAATTAAGTGTAAAATAAAATAATTTGATCTTTGTATCCATTCCACATATGGTATTTCTGTATAGGAACAGGCCCTCAGGCCTTGATATATATGTATGGAATTTTGTAAATGTTTTTTATAATGTCATTTGTACATGCATTTCATAATTTCATTGCAATGTTTTCATATTGTGCTGCAGAAACCTTTTAAATGTGTTACTAATAAAGTCGTATTTTGGTGAGTAGGTGGGATGTTAAGATTCTTTTGTGACAATTGTTTTTACTGTATTTATGCATAAAATATGCCGGTATAAATATTGTCTTTCCTTTATGAATTCAGAAATTCATTCTATATCAGATCTACATTATTTTGATGCATCGCGTCAAGGTGTAAATCTTGAGGGAACTAATAAAAATGCTTTGTACATTCTCTCATTTTTGCCACGTGTCATTGTCCACTGTCCCCGTTAGTGGCTTTCTGACTGTCTCGTGGCAGCATGTATAGAATTTCTGCAAAGATCAGTAGTAATTTCTTGTTGTGTGTGACACAGTGTAGTCTGGTAGAAGTTCACTGATGTCTAGAAGGAATGTGCTGCATCAGTCCTCAGCGTTAAGAATAAACGAAGCACGTGCACACTGGGTTTCACTTGCGGCATTTCGTCCGGGTTGAGAACACCGGTGTCCTCTCGCCAGCAGATGGAGGTACGTGGATCATATCATCATGAAGATGACTGAAATCGAGCTCCATCCCAGCAGCATGATCACAGAGAATAACATTAGTAAACCTCTACCAGATCACATGTCATCACATCTGAGTAAGATGCTACTGTTCATAGGCACTGCTAAGACAACCTCCAAACCAACAGATCGGTGAACTTTATCCTTTCGGTTGGTAACAGAATTTTCAGCGGAATGCTCAAGCGAACTGTTTCAACAACATGGCTGTTACATTTTGGTATAATTTTTTATTAATTATGTGATTTATATTTATTTCTGTTGTGTTTAAATTCCTATTCATCCTATGAGTTTGGACACAGCCATACAGTGTTTTACCAGCATGAAGTTTTAACATGAGTATCCTTGTTTATTATTTTTTACAGCGTATATTGTTATTCACCTTTCATAGCCTAATTGATCTCTCTTCTACCGTGAAGATGGAAGCAGCATGTTCGTAAGAAACAGTGGTACCCACCCTCCATGTTAAATCACTGTCATATCCCAGAGGGGTGTACTTTCTGTAGTTGTTTTTAGCCTGGTTTCCCTACTTGTTCAGCCTTTTCCCATTCTGATTGTACTTTTCTGCCATCAGTAATAATGTGATGGGTGTGCAAACTTTTGAGATGGGCTTTACACTAATATCTCCACATTTAAGAGTCCTGAAATGATGAATGATGATAGATTGTTGGAGAATGTGCAACTTTTGTGATTTAATAGTTCATAAATCAGCAATTGAATATAAGACAGTGTGAAACTTTGAGGTCTTGGATTGAATACTGAATTTATTAAATGCATACTGCTAGTAACTACAAACAATTATAACATGCTAATTTACACAATCTGTAAATAACCATGACTGCCCACAACTGTTACTTTTTTCACTATTCGTTGCCTGGTAGCAGCTTCTCACAATTGGAATATTGCTAACGATGTCAACCTGTTGAAGCTGGATAGCTGTGTGCTGGTTCCCATGCTCTTCTACATTTTGAGCTCCTGTTACGTGTGTTTTGTAGCCGGTTCTTCATTGCTTATATATTGATCTGTGTTCCTTCACGTGATCTGCATATCGCAGTGTGTTCAGAGAGTATTCACATGATTTCATGCTTGGACTAATCATCACTATCATACATGTTTTGGAGTTCACCCCGATGAAGGAGTCTCTGAGAATGTGGGTGAGCTTGCTGCCTCGAAATGGGAGATGTGCACCTTTCCTGCCCAACGCTCTGATACACTCCTTTAGAGCTAGAAGTGACTTGTTAATCTCCGCACCTTCCAGCCTTCTCTGCCGATTCGCAGAAGACATATCTCCTGCCGTCTCATTGCCAGCTAGATCAATCAGTGAGAACTTGCCATGAATGTTCTTGATACTAGGTGCCCGGACTACAATCTGGAGTACTGCATGAGACCGTGAAGAACTGGCGTTTGCTGCGGTCTTTCCTGATGTTCTAGTTCGGGTGCCATGCTGTATGACTTGAAGGAGCTCATCCACTGAGTTGACTGCTCTTTCAGTCAGACCCATGATCTGCACTTGCTGCTTGTCATCTTCAAGAATGCGCAGTTTAGTTCTTTTTGCCAACAGATCAAAGACCTCACCGTTGTATATCTCGTAGAAGCTTGCGGATACCGTCAGGTTAAGGGCATTATACTCAGGTGACGTACAGTACCTAAAGATATCCTCCCCTACCATGGCATAGATTCCTTTCTGGAAGTTTTGTGTTTTACCCAGAAAGTTACCGCCCATTGTATGGGTCTTGCCACTTCCTGTCTGCCCATATGCAAAACATGTTGCCACCCCGCCCTTGAAGACCGTTTGGACCAGAGGCTTTGCTGTGTACTTGTAGACCAAGTCATTGGAACAGGACTCGTCAAAAGCGTAATCAAATATGAAGTGTTGGTTCTCTAAGAACTTTGTGAGGTACACACTAAGTTTGGGCTCGTGCACAACAATGTGATTTTTACTGAGCACCGAGATCACATCGGGCTCATTCCTGTCCACTTCTTTCATATTGAGTGGCCTCTTCCTGACACAAACTGTAATCGCGTGGTCTTCCACGGGGTCTGACTCTTGTAGGGGATGGAACTCCATACTATCACGGTACTCCCTGATCATAGCCAAGAACTCCCAGTTGGGGTTGTTTTGATGCATTCTCTTGTGAAGCTCCTTATCTTTTCTCAGTTCTTTCTGTCGCTGCTGACGTTGCTCCCGGTTTTTATTCTGTTGCTGAACCTGCTTCACCACATTACTGCTTCCTTGCCATCCTGCACCACCTTGTGACTCTGGTTTTGCGGCTTGCTGCTTCTGCCTGGATGCAACACTTTTGACTTTGGGTGTACTCGTAGGTGGGTCGATGTCATACACGCTCCAACCAGTGGAAACAATCGGTCTGTCAGCTTGCCCATTCAGAGCAACAGTCAGCTTGGGGTCCTCACACCAGGTGGAGGTTATTGGGACCTCCATCCTTTCTCGGCTGCCATTTATGAAGGAATCCATCTTGGTTTCCTTCCGTCGTTGATTGGCCTCTATCTTGGCCTCCAACCACTCTATCTTGGACTTCAACATCTCTATCTTGGCCTGTATCTCTGCCTCCAGCCTTGCTTGTTTGGCCTCCACCCATTCTTGGTTTGCATGCAGCCTTTCTACGATGGATACCAGACGTTTCAAGCCCGCCATGAATGCACAGTTCACTAAATCCAACAATTAAATATAGTCGCACTTCTCACGTGTCACTGATTAGACACAGCTTTTGGATTGATTGCTGAATTTGTAGAATGCCCACACTAACACAGTCACTGATATACGCTGGCTGATAGTGACTGCTAACCATTGTTGGCCCTCGTGATATAGCTTTGGCACGGACAGCATAGAAAACATCGCTTGCAAGGCTTCCTGTATTGTGTGTGTATTAGTTACCGTGGGAACTTCTTTACGGAACTGTTTCCTAGCAACGGACGTTTACTCTGGTTCGGCTGTTCACGGTTTCAGGCGTCATGTCACAAAGAATGGAAGAAGTTTAAATGGAGTGTTACGAGATCGTATACCTGTGGCCCATCAGTTCTCCGCACTGGCCCGTGATCTAAATTGGACTTTATTGTTGGGTTACCCATATAGGTTACCTAGATACGGCAAACAACAGAAAGTTTGTGGGACTGGAAGTTTATAATAGGAATTCCATTGATAAAAAAAAATCCCGACCTCGGAGACCAACCTGAAGTTATAGGATATAAGTTTTTTTTAAATTTGCTTAGAGGGGGGGGGGGGGTCCAACTGGGTCCACTCGGCACGGCGGCCACTGATTGGCCTATTGTAGCCTGCCCCGGGTGATTAAGATGATGGAGAATTTGGTGGAATGAAGATTGGCAGGGGAAACCGAAGTACTCTGAGAAAACCCGCTCCAGCGCCACTTTGTCCACCACAAATCCCACTTGACCAAACACGGGCCGCCGCGATGGGAAGCCAGCGACTAACCGCTTTAGGATATAGTTACTTATGAAGCTGAATGGTTTGCGACTAAAGCAAATGAAAGTCGTCCCTGTGCCTAATTAAGCACGCACTGACGCCTGAGGGCGTGAAGGTATGGTTCCATGCATACCTAGCTTCGGTTGAGACCTGCTTAATGGTCCAGCCATTTCACTCAGAGCACCAGTTCGGTGGAAGTTGTGGCTGTGCGAACACTGGAGAACAGGAAAGTGCTTCGCCCCTGCCGGAAATCAGCCAGTATTCCAATCGCCATGCCAAAGAGTTTATGTGTTGCCAAGCTGATACATGTGTGCAGTTGTGTGTTCTTGGTTAAAAAGTGCCATGTTTTGGTCTCCTGGTTCTGCTTCCTTCGTCATGTAAAAATACGAAGCCTCTTCTGTTGGGTCCTTTACGTGGACTTTATCCCAGTACTACTTCACACAGATTTGCCAATCAGATGGTTGCCAAATTTAGTGTCATTCGACTTAATTCCAAGGTTGACAGTTTTCCTTTATAAGTTTTAAAAGAAAGGAATTTCATTACGGTCTTCCCTCGCTGTATCCTCTGCAAATTGAATCGAGTGTAGGCGTATAACATATTTATAGCTAAGTCGGCAAAATGGGCTCTTTCCTCCCTGTTTTCCAAATAGCAGTTGTTAGCTATGATTTTAAAGTTAATTTCTATAAGCTATTTGTAGCCTCCTTTCCTTATTTAGGAAAAATAAAAGTAGGCTTATGAGATGACCTTGTTGTCTGTGTATATCTCTCCCTAACAACTTCTGAATTCTCCTACAGCATATTTAGTTACGGTTAAAACCTCAACAATTGAATCGAGGGACATGTCACAAAATCATTCCTTTCTGTGCAATGGTTCTCGCATGGCAATAATACGGGTCCGTTGCTAGGTAGCAAACAGAGCCAGTGAACTGGTTGAATAACGACCACGTGGGAACCCCAACAGACGCACACAACAATGGAGGAGCTGTGTTTTCTGTGCATGGTCCGTGCGAAGTAATTATGAGAAGAGTTCGACAGAACAGTAGACGGAGCACAGCGGAGTATACAACAGTAGCAAAGACTAGTCTCGGAACTGGCGGCTTCAGAAATAGCGAGAAAGCAATTAGGCTGTGCCAAGAAGATTTGAAATTACAGCGGGACTGGAATAAATCCGTTGCTAGGATACGACTAATGAAGGAGAATCATAATGCGTGCGCAACGGTGAGCTGTAATGATTGTCTGGTGAGTCGGAATAGTTCAGGCGGTGTAGCGACTGGTTGGACGGTCTAGGGTTCGAGTCCCGGCAGGGGAAGAATAATGTAACGTTGATGGCCAGAGCGTTTCTAGGCAACGACCTGTAAACAACCTTCAGTCGCGTAAGCACACTCAACAATAGGACGAATGTTTATAGCTCGTTGCTAGGTAACATTCAGCGTGCCAATAGGCTGGCGAGATGACTTTCTGTGGGGTCGGTGCCGCGACCGTTGTTATGCAACGTCGCGGTAAACACTCCTCTACAACAGTATAACTGTGTTTTCTGTGCGTGGTCGGTGTGGAGGCTATATAACGAGATTCCATACATACAGGACAGTAACTTTCATATAAGAAAAATCTGGTCATGAGCCCCAGTCGGGGCTCGACACCAAGACAGACAGACTGACAGACGGTCAGTCGCAATGTGACTTGGGCTTGGACTTGGAATAGATTTCAGTCACCCGTGTGGAGGCGGGATCGAATACCTCCACCGTGACCCTGCGAGTCGTAGGAGGCGACGAAAAGGGAAGTCTCAAATCTGAGACAGTACAGTATGGTCGCGAGTCCCAAGGGACTCAGACCCGAGAAAGACTGCGCTGGCAAGGCCCAGTAGCATGTAAATAAGACATCCGTCCTCTCGTCAGAGATGACGCCCCACGAAAAAACAAACCGTAACGTTCAAGAGTAATAAATATTTGGTCATGACACCAAGACTTACTGAATGACTGAACGTCAGTCGCATTGTGACTTGGACTTGGATAGATTTCAGTGTTTAAGTGAGAGTGAGAGAGTTTTAAGTGACAGTGAGAGAGTTTTGTATGGGGAGTGGATGAGTTCTCGACAGGAGGCAGCCACGGGAAGTTCATATGAGACCTGTGAAGACTTAAGTGTGATTTGAGGACTGTGTTTATGTGTAATACCGGGAGTGTGTGATCTAGTGAGGCTGCTATAGCTTCTATGTTGAGATATGTTGCCAGGAGACTAGTGAGACTGGGAGTGTGTGATCCAGTGAGGCTGCTATAGCTTCTATGTTGAGATATGTCGCCAGGAGACTAGTGACACTGGGAGTGTGTGATCCAGTGAGACTGCTATAGCTTCTATGTTTAGTTGCCAGGAGACTAGTGAGACTGGGAGTCATTGTGTGCGTGCAACAGTGTGTTTAAAGCAGCGATAGCGCTGCGATTTAAGTGTGGTTAAGAGAGGGTGTAACCAAATCCAATCATCCGAACTAGAACCCGTCATTCTCGTCACGCGTGACAGTATTTTTCTCTATTTCACAGCCTCCAGACCAGTTCTGGGGCCCACCAAGCCTCATATCCAATAGGTACCGGGGGAAACGCGGCCGAGGCGTGAAGCTGACCGCCCATCTCAATGTAATGCCGAGCTCACGAACGGTGGAGCTAACCCTCCCTCCCATTTACCTATTCATGGCGTGGTGCTTAATTAATTAAGCACAAGGACGACTTTGCCTTTGAATCGAGTGGGAGGGTCATCAGTGGTGGACTCACACCAATTTTCGGCGGTCAGGGACCTTGATTTTGGCACAGAGACAAACTTAGGTACATGTCAGTTCCTGTCGGGATATTTTTACCCCAGCAAAGACATTGAGACCCGGAGCACCGGCCTTTCAGTGTATTTACTGACGGTCCAGGAGCGACTAGGGGTGGAGAGTAAATAAACTGTTCCTCGCAAATATTCCTGGTGCAAGAGGCTGTGGATCTTGTACTTGCCGACACGTTCCACCTGCCGAGTCTGCATTCTGCCCACGCACAATAAACAGCGTAACCTTTTTGTCTTTACGTTTGGTGTCGTAGTGTGTTCCCTGTGAGGTCAGAGCTGAGTTTGTAAGGTAAGGTCCCTGTGCTTAACTAATTAAGCACTACGCCATGAAGGCGTATGGGGAGTGGATGTATAGACCCACGGTTTCTTGACCTCAGAACCTGCTGGAGGTGAGTGGTCAGCTTCATGCCCAGGCCGCTTTACCCACGGGAAAAGAGTTACCGGTACCCATTACATAGGAGGCTGGATTGTTCCCTAGAACCGATATGGATGACATGGAGGAATAAAAATTCTTGCTCCTACCGGGATTCGAACTCCGACCCCTCGGTCATGCAGCCCGTAGCCAGTCCCTATCCCGGCTGGTGAGGTTATAGCATACGTTTCTTCTTTTGAAGGAATAAAAGGAAACATTGGTTCATGCTGCTGCATTTTGTCTTTGTGTCCCCGCTATCAATAGTGATACCAGAAGAAACTGCTGTTGCTAGGCAACGGCTCAGCAAACAGTTTTACGTGGCGACGATTACACAGTAGAACTGCTGGACGCGGTGTTTTCTGCGTGGTCCGTGTCGTGTCATACTCAATATGTAAGCAAAGGAAAGTAGGCGATTAGTTCTTCCCAGAACTCATTATGTGCACCCTTCGGGGCACCACATGCTTCACATGCAGCTCCCGCAGTAGGCAGCATAGCCCCTGCCCGTAACGAAGTGCATATCCCAACCATCTACAAGGAGGACGAACGTACACTGCCTGGGAACCTGCTGAGCCCGAAAGAAATTCCCCCCTCCCTAAACTTTGTTATGTCTGTTCGTGCTGTGAACAGTTTCTGGCGCAAATGTGCCTTTGTTAGCGTCTTAGTGTCTGTCTGTCTGTCCGTGTGCAAGTAACCACTCGATAGCAGCTGAACAGATTTTCACGAAATTTTATAATATGGAGCAATAATAAAACCAGTCAAAAATTTTCCAATTTTCAGAAAAGTCGGACAGCAATAACGGACACTCCACATGAGGATATAGCTCAGTCGGTAGAGTGACGGGCAGGACAGCCG